TTCTCCAAAATGGCACCAGGGTGATGCGGAGGAGACAAATTGTTGAATAAAGTCGTTTTTTTTTCTTTTGCGCACAAAAAGTATTCTCGTAGCTTTGTATAATTGTGGATTAACCACTGATGTCACATGGATTATTTTACCGATCTCCTTGCTACGTCTCTGGACTTGAGAACATTTCAGTTGCGTTGCTGTCTATGGGAGGGTCAGAGAGCTCTCAGATTCCATCAAAAATATCTTAATTTGTGTTCCGAAGATAAACGAAGGTCTTACGGGTTTGAAACGACATGAGGGTGAGTAATTAATGAAAGAATTTTCATTTTTGGGTGAACTAACCATTTAAGTGTAAGCGAAATAGGCCTGCCACTTGTTCTGTGACATGTAATGTTTTTGTGTTTTTTTCATTGTATTACTAAATTTTCATTTTGATCTTTTTAATGCAGTGTTGTTACTTAATTGAACCATATTTAACGGCTATATGCTATTGTATTAATGTATTATTTACTTAGAATTTTTACTAGCATTAATAATAAACTAATTTCACTTATTTTATATTTTTAATTTCTAATAGTTAAATTGAAAAATAAAAATAAATAAATAAAAAATGTATTAAATACATTTTTGTTATGGTACCAAAATTGTTACAGAGATCTGTGAAATTTTACTGGCATTGATTCAGAATACTGAAATCGCAACTGCTTGATTGTATTGTCACAAAATCTGCTAAATGCACTATAAGGCATTAAGATATTGTTAACAATTTGAAACAGTATGTGTATTGTAAATTAAACTTGACATAGTGTGAGAGAATCATTTGCCAACTTTTTCTGCTAATGTTTTATCTAATGCTTCAAGTGATGCCATGACTGTCTAAACAAATAAACCCAGTTACTTTTACTCAGTTACTACCCAGTGACATTACTATCTGTACAGCACTGTTTAGATGTAACTGAGTTCTGCAGATTCCATAACCCGGACAAGCCCCCAATAACGGTACGATTATAGGTGTATGTAGTGCAACATTAAACACCTGAGATTTATTTAAGTGCTGGTTTTGCAAGCATTAGTAATCATTTATTCACCTCCAAAGGTTTCATGTGCCCTCGATCATGGCAGTTAGGTTCGAATCACATTTCCGGCAATAGGTCTGAGGAGGATATTTAATCTGTCCACGGGGGGTCAGATCAGTGAGATCCAGTCAGGGTTTACAGTGACAGTCCGTGGAGGAGGCAGCATTGTTCTGCCTGTTTGAATATCGCCTGGAGCTGCTATCACTTAAACTTAAACATCATCCGATTATTAGGCTTATGGTTGTTTGAGCTTATTGCTTTGTGTCAGGTGAGCAGAGGATTTAGACTGTAGAGACCTTAGAATATCAGGGATTTTTATTTTCATGCTTTAGTTGCTTAAACATAGGCTTGTCTGATTAGAGTTGATTATAAATTGTCTTTAGGCTGCAGAGTAAATGAGAAAACATGTTTCCTGGACTGGCAAAATCTAAATAAAATTATTTAATTAGAAAAAAAGAAAGAAAAAAATGTATGACCTCTGTTTAATATAATGCTTTATTTTAATATATTTCATATTATTTCATATATTTATTTTTTATAATAATGTATGTATTTATTTATGCTTTATAATGAAAACCAAATTGTTGGTTCTTTTATTTTTAAATGTATTGTTATATATATTTTTTTTATTATTATTACTGTTTTTTTATTTTTTATTTATTATCATTTTGCCTCTTTTAAAATAATTTCCTTTTTCTGTATATACCATACTGGTTTGTTTCATTTATACAGTGTTTCACTTTTGTCTCCGTCATAGTCTTGATGTTGTGGGGAGGGGCTATTGTTGAAAGGCAACAATTGTGATTGACAGCACTGTTTTCTTGAGAGAGGCGTATAATAATAACGCTATCATATGGTCTGGCAGATTTTGGGCTCGGCACCAGGAATGACAAATGTGCTCACGCAATAATTCAATCTGCTCTCCCAGTTCTTCAACTTTAAGGGGACTTGCGAAGATGAGTAGTTGAAGCAATTAAGTTGGTCAGTCATTGTTAATGTGTAGCACCCAAAATATGTGCCAGGTTGTTTATGGAGAAGTGTTTTTCATAAAAAAGAGAGAGAGAGAAAGAGAGAGAGGGAAAGTAAAGAAAACTTCGCAGACAGATTGTGATTTGGTGAATGTGTGAGAATGGAAGGTGGTCTGAGAATATCAGTAACTAATTAAAGTTTTCTTCCGTACGTCACTTGCTAAAGACGCTGGGTTCTCAAGAATAGTTAAAGTAACTGATGTTTCTGAAGGAAATAGCTGGATGAAAGTGAAACTTGATGATGAGAACAAAAAGCAAATTACATGTAATGTAATTATTTTTTAATGCATATATAGTATTACAATTCTTTCAAGGATGTAACCAAACTTCAATAATCAATTTATAATTTATGTTATGTCATGTCATGTCATGTTATGTTATTTTATGTTATGTTAAATTATCGATCATCTATTGAAATTAATATTGTCTTTTTGTGGTAGTTGTTCTTATTATATTATATTATATTATATTATATTATATTATATTATATTATATTATATTATATTATATTATATTATATTATATTATATTATATTATATTATATTATATTATATTATATTATATTATATTATATTATCGATCATCTATTGAAATGAATATTGTGTTTTTGTGTTAGTTGTTCTTATATTATATTATATTGTATTATAATGTAAAATTTTTGCATAATGATGCTAAACTGTATGATTTACTGTATTCATGTTTTTGTCTGTTTTTTTCACATAATTTAAAATAAATTAATTTATTTGTTTATTTATTTATTTATTTTAGAATTATTCATTTGTAATTACTAAGCAGTATTATAATTAGCTGTCACAAGATAAACTTCTTTCTTTCTTTCTTTCTTTCTTTTTAGGAGAAGAAATACACTCTATTAATGGTGGATCCAGATGCTCCTAGTTGTCAGAAACCTTCTCGCGCTTACTGGAAACACTGGTTACTGGTTGACATTAAGGTTACGTCACATATCCCAAAAAGGTCTTTGAAATGCAGATGTTGTCTCCACCTAATTTGAAGTTTTACAAACTTGTTATAACCTCTGTGACTTCATGAATGTTCTTCTATGATATAATGAATCTTCAAGCCTATTAATACAAGTCAATGTATTTCATCTGAATATTACCAAGAACAAAGCCTTAAAATAAAGGTTGCTTAAAGCAGCGCTTTGGCACGGACAATCCTGGACATAATGTGCAAAGCAAAAGGTGTCAGAAACACTTTGGTGGGCAAACAATTCCTGGATCGTGTGGACCATATCTGCACCTTCCATGTGCTTCACACTTGTGCTGCGTTTCCGATGAGTTACATAATTACTGAGTAAAAATATCATGTTAGTCATCAGCGCTCCGCTCCGGCGGGATCTAAAGGCAGATTCATCAGGCTGTGCATGGGGACGATGTGTTTAAACAACCGGGGATGAGACACACTTTAATTGCTCAATATTAAGTCAATATTCTTTCATCCTTTCTTAATCTCGCAGGCTATTTTTTTGCATGCAATTTCTTTCTCAGTTTTTCTTGCTGTGGTCCTATTGGTTCACAGGGGAGCCCAATGATTCCAATAACGTTTGTAACTACATCTCAGAAATATATGAAAAATGACTGATGTCTCATACACAAGTTACAAAAAAACATTGTTTGTAAGAATGACTTTCTTTTCTTGACATTCAGGTTTTTTTGTTTGTAAGTTTTTGTGGCAATCGTGTGGGCGAATGGTTCTCCTGTGTGACGGGAATGATTGCACGTCAGTTCTCCTTCAGACAAGGGAACTAAAGACAGGAGTGCAACAGGCCTACTACAACTAGTGCCCTCTTTTTTATTTATTTATTTATTACACCTGGTTTTACTGGAAGACTCACATAAAGGTTCAATTGAAGATGTTTTGATATGACTGCACATATCCAAATATGACATGGCAAGATATGTCATGCCAGGTTTGACATAATAACTAATGCCAATGTCATTGATTTTGATCAGTGTTATTATTGTATTATGTAAATGCTCTTATAATATTTATTAATATTTTTAATGAGCTTTTTTTTAATCACTTAGCTTTATTTTTAGTAATTTTGTTATGCGTTAGTCATTTTTATTCCTGTTTTAAATGTCCACTTCTTTTTCTGTCGTTTAGTTTTTATTTTTATATATTAAGTTTATATTTTAATTTTAGTTTATGTTTTAGTAATTTTGTTATAAGCTTTTTCATTTCTATTTATGATGCTGTCGTTTTTATTTCCATATTAAATGTTCACTTCCTCGTCAGTCACTTTATTTTTACATGTTAAGTTTATATTTTAATTTTAGCTCAAATTTGAGTAATTTTGTTATATACTTCTGTGATTTTAGTACTTGTTTCATTTCAAGTAGCTGCCAAGTTTTTTAAGTTACAATTTTACGACTAATATTTACATTTATTTCGGATTTCATTAAATTAATGAACAATATTTTAACAGTTTCAGTTTTAGTTGACAATAACCATGCTGATTTTAGGTGCCAAATGTGATATACAAATCACACAAATGAGTTGTCGATGTATTTGAGCACTAAGGACTACTTTTTAAAACCATTCTTGGGTCATTTTTAAAGCCCCAGTCCCCATTCATTTTCATTGTATGGAAAAGAGCAGCTTGAACATTCTGCCTGATATCTCTCTTCCATCAAGTTTGAAATGACCTAACGCTGTGTAAATTATAACAGAATTCTCATTTTTGGGTGAACTCTCCCTTTAATTGTACCATTTTAGTGTGGTTTCGTGACTGGATATCTATAAATTACCACGAAGGATGATCCTACAGCTACAAAAAGCAACACTCCGTCATTCACCTTTTCTGCAGGCGTTTTACTCGTAAATCTCCATACAAATACATTTGCTAAAAGCAGCATATGATCACAGTCCCTGGAAGCGAGTCCATCTTCAGCACTAGTTCAGCCCTGCCCTCCTCTCCATCTCGCAGAGAAGAGATGAGCCTCCTCCCCGTCTGGCCAGGCGACACATTGTGAATAAACAAATGTATTTCAGGTGCTCAGACAGACAACCTCTCAGTACCCTGTCACTGTGTGGGCGGCGGCATGCCGCCTGTCTGCTCCCTGATTGGCCGTCTCGTTGTGTTGTGTGTATGATGAGGAGCCGTGGTTGGTCAGAGGTTTAATAAGGCTGGTGGGAGGTGAGTAATTGCCGCGGTGACTTCCTCTAACCTCACTGAAGTTATAATAACATCCCGTGTGAATGTGTGGAATTATCTGTCCTGGAATACTCCTGGGCTTCAGACTGAAGCAGGTGCCACACAAATTAACAATTCCCCTCTCACTCCAACATCATATTTAGAAATCTGCCCTGTAATTCCTTTTTTTAGAAATTAAATTACAACCCTGATTTGACTTGTTTACTCCCCCATACAAGCAAACGTAATGTCTTTTGCGTATTGCATGCAAACACGATAGGAGAGCAAAAGTTGTTTTTCATTTTCACCCTTCCATCCAAACTCATGTCAGAGAGCACATCTTATCTCAGTTTTGGTTTCCATGCTAAGCTGGCTTTGACTCGAGGGATGTCTAAACATCACATCTCTCTTAGTTTTTATGAGAAACTAAAAAGTGGAGTTGCATTAAAAGCAAAAAAATTCTCATTATCTGCCGTGCACCTATAATGAACTTCAGTGTGTAATTTAACGTAGTTATACCTGTATAGATTTTGCTGCTATTGTCTTTAGTGATATACAATCGTTTTTTCTGTGTTTACTGAAAAATGGCACAGGTAACATAGATTTACTGAAAATTGTGTTTAAATTAAACCTCTGCTGCAACTTGAGGAGATATTTCTTGGAATATGTCAAATAGATCTGACTAAAGTTTTTCTTATCAGTGCTTCATATTCAATACCTTATTTCAGTGCTTCCTGTTTATGTCCTCTTCCAGAACTCTAGATTAACATTGACACTTATGAATTTAGCAGAGACTTTTATTCAAAAGTGAAAATCTGTCATAGAGCCAACGATATATAATACCACATTTACTAGAAATCTACAGTGGGTAGAGAAATGAATCGCCTCCCTTTAAAATAATCACATTTTGCGGAAATGAAGACAGACACAGTTTTTGTTTTATCCAGCTGTATTTATTCAGTGCAATTTATAACATCCAAGTGAAAGATATAACACCAACATGTCAGAAAAAAAATAAAACAAATAAAAACAGAATCACTGAGTTGGAAAAAGGATCACCCATTGTGTCAGTATTTTGTTGAGTATAGAAAAGAATCACCCCCTTTAAAATAATCACATTTTGTTGCTTTGCAGCCTGAAATGAAGACGAACGTTTTAGTTTTATCCAGCTGTATTTATTCAGTGCAATTTATAACATCCAAGTGAAAGATATAACACCAACATGTCAGAAAAAAAATAAAACAAATAAAAACAGAATCACTGAGTTGGAAAAAGGATCACCCATTGTGTCAGTATTTTGTTGATCCACCTTCTGCTTTAATTACAGCCTTCAGTCTGTTGGGATTTGTCTGTCTCTTCTAACTTTGAGTGTCTAGACTTTGCAGTATTTGCCCACTCTTCTTTGCAGAACTGCTCAAGTTCAGTTCACTTTGATGGTGAGTGTTTGTGGACTGCAGTCTTCAAGTCATTCCACAGATTTTCAGTGGGGTTTAAGTCTGAGCTCTGACTAGATCATGCAAGGACATTCACCTTTTTCTCCTTCAACCACTGTGTGCTCAGTTAACTGTGTGCTTTGGGTCATTGTCATGTTGGAAGGTAATCCTTCTTCCCAGTGACAACTTTCTGGCAGAGGGCAGCAGATTTTCCTCAAGAATTTGACTGTATTTTGCCCCATCCATTTTTCCTTCTATCCTGACAAGTGCTCCAGTCCCTGCTGCAGAGAAACACCTCATAACAGGATATCACCACCTCCATGCTTTACTGGAGGAATACTGTTATTTGGATGTTGAGCTCTATTGGATTTTCGCCAGACATATCGTTTGGTGTTGAGGCCAAATAAAGCTTAGTCTGACTGCATGTGGCCTTTCTTGAGTTTTTTTTTTCTTGCAACCCTCCCATACAAGCCACATTTGTGGAGGATTTCTGATACTGTTGTCACATGCAAACAATGACCACTCTTTGTCATAAATTCCTGCA